CACGACCAAGCGCTCTCCCTTCATGAGAATAAGGGTGATGACTTCACGGAAGTCCCACCTCTGCGGTATCATGGCGGTGCCATGCCCATGACCCTACTATCCGTCGCCTCACATCTGCATCCCTTTCTTCGCGATCGGTAGATATGCCTCTGTGGCACTGTAGCACTCCTCCGAGTCCACCTCCATTCTAATCGATGCTTGGTTTTGGGTAGCTAAGTCCCTCTGGACTCGTCATCGCTTCCTCGCCCCTTTCGATCCCCTGCTTCAACACCTTTGTGTTCTCTGAGCAGTTCCCTTGGTCGATGGAAAGACAGACTGTGACTCCTATGTATGGTCTCTGCCATCATGTTGTAGGGTTCGCATTGATTCTATTATCCTTAGCTTCTTTGATAGCAGCGTTCACTTACTCAGTCTTGTCCTCTGACTTATCAGGTTTCCTTAAGCGAATATGAGCTCTGGAGCAGTCCAACTCTTCGGCCGTTGCAATCATGCCTCTGCATGATTAAGTCCCCCCCATGGGACTCACTGGTTTTTGGGTAGCTAAGTCCTTATGGGCGTGTCGTCGCTTCCTCGCCCCTTTCGACCCCCTGCTTTAACACCTCTATGTTCTCCGAGCAGTTTTCCTTGGTCGATAGAAAGACAGATTACAACTCCTATGCATGGCCTCCACCATCATGTTGTAGGGTTTGCACTGATTCTGTTCTCCTTAGCTTCTTTGGTAGCAATGTTCGCTTACTCGACCTTGTCCTCTGACTTATCGGGCTCCCTTAAGTGAATATGAGGTATGGAGGAGTCAAACTCTCCAATCGCTCCAATCATACCTATGCATGATCAAGTCCCCCCCCCATGGGACTCATTGGTACTTGCATTCGGTATACTCCTTCGGTAGTACACAACCCCTATATGCTGATGACCAAGGTTTTTATCTAATGCACGCACGAAAGACATGCCTCTGCGATACTAAGACATTTGCTCTTTGAATCCATAGTCTTTCTTGTTGTCATGTTGTTCACCGAAGTGGAGCTCCCAGTAGCTCCCGATCATACCTCCGTATGATCTAGTCCCTCGCGGAACAAGTTTCGTGTGTATCGCATTGCCACGAATTGTTCCACCACGATCCGCTGCACCATGTCGCCTCTTGGTGACATCTCCATTGCATTTTGATTATTGTTGGATGAACTCAAATTGCGATCCCGCCATGTGTGGCCTCTGCTAACACATCATAGAGATTCTTCCACCTTCGATTGTGTTCGCTCCTTTGGCAAGACGAAGCACCGCTCAAGGACAGTCCATCGCCTAGAAGCTCCCAAAGTCCACTGACTTTGCTAAAAATTGTGCACCATTGTCTGGATCCTAGGC